ATAAAACCTAGAATTAGATCTTGCACTACTCTTCTTGAATCTGTTGCTCTCTTGTCTTGAGCCTATATTTCCAAGCAAATGATTAATGAAATGCATGTATTGCGGGATAAGTAATTTGATTCATATTTCTTTTAGTATTCTTTTCTTTTTCTTTTCTTTTTGTTTCTTCTATGTTCTCTTGTACATAGTAGATATGCCTTCAATACAAGAGTATGAAAAAAAATGTATTTTGTTTCTTTTTGTACATTAGTGTGCGGCCGCTATTGTTGAATGAATAAGAGAACATAATTTATTTTCTTTTTTGCTTGATCACTGTTGCACTTCTTGCATTTGTTCTACCTAGTTTCGGTTCAGCGAATCAACCTAGGTCGAAGCTATGAGTTATATCTGTAATAGATCGCTGAGTTTTAAAACTAAATGAATTCGAAACAGTATCTTTTCATTCGTTTATTGACATTTTATTCGAAGCTTGAGGACGATGTAGAAATTTAAAGAAAGAACAGTGCTCTATTTGTTTCATTAAAGTAGATCTTTATTGAGTGTTAGAAAACGTACTTCAAAAGTATAGAAGTCTCGCTTTTCTTCCTTGTCCATGCGCCTGATACAAGTGTTGTCTATTTCCGTTTCGGGGATGAACTTGTTCTCATTACTGAGAACGGACCCTCTTTTTGATAACTGCTCTACTTCTTTTATCTTTTGTTTTCATATTCAGTCTTTACTTAATATTTGTTGATGCCTTCTTATTTTATATGCACGAATGCCAGCAATGCTTACTTATCGCGAAGAAATCGATGGACTACGAGGACTTGCCGTACTGTCAGTTATTTTTTATCACGCCGGCTTTGTTCTGCTGGTTCCTGGAGGCTACGTTGGTGTTGACGTATTTTTTGTTATCAGCGGCTATCTGATTACATCAGTTATCGACATGGAGCTCAGAGAAGGAACATTTTCGCTTATTCATTTCTATGAAAGGCGGTGTCGTCGAATTATTCCAGCACTATATGTCATTTCGTTCATTAGCTGCTATTTTGCCTACCATTGGATGCTCCCCGGTCAACTAAAGGAGTTTGGATATTCTCTGATTTCTGTTATCACTTTTTCTTCGAATATATTCTTTTGGTGGAAAGACGACCGATATTTTTCACGACTAAGCGAGTTAAATTCTATGGTTCACACGTGGAGTTTGGCTGTGGAAGAACAGTTCTACCTTATTTTCCCATTGTTGTGCTATCTGCTCGCCAGAAAGCGGCGTTACCTGGTCGTTCTTCTTAGTTTTTTCATGCTGTTCAGTTTTTTTCTTGCACAATGGGGAGGCAACATCCAATCTGTCTCAAGTACTACATTTTACATGTTTCGACAACATTCGTTGGCATCATTTTACATGCCTATAGGGCGCGCATGGGAATTACTAATCGGTACTTTCATCGCATTTTACTTTAGGACTAAAGATTCAGTCATGTATGTATTCAGTTTTTGAAATCTTTTCTCTTCGAGTTCGCTAATTGCATTGAAAGAGTAACCTTTCTAAGGGCGTATTTATTATTTATCAGATCTTCAAAAACCCAACTACCACAAAGAAACCATTGAAACTACATGAATTGCGTTGGTAATTCATGAACCATAGCTCGTTATCGAAATAACAGATGGTTATGAGACAAAATAATACAACTTATATGAAAATCAGCTACATACTGTGAAACATAAAAATCAGTGTGTATAGATTCGAGAATAATGATACTGTTGTGTGATTTTGGAACCGAGCTGAGAAGACGGTAGTAATTATCTTCTTGTATAATTTAGTGAGGAAAGAGATCAATGCAACTTCGTATCTAAATTTTTATAACGTCATGAAACCTTTTGAAGTTCACTGTCTCAACATAAAATTCAATAATCATAGAAAATTATGTTTCCTAAAATCACTTGAATAGTATCACTAAAGTCTTTAGTAGAAGCTGTAGCAATTCAGATGTGTATATGACTCACGAAAAGGCTGATGCATAGCTTGAAAGTCTAGAAATACGATCAACGGCTCATACCGATCTGAAAAAACCCTGCCAGTTGCAACTCTGAATCAAATTACTAGTAGAATTTTCATCGTTAGACTTCTAAAATAAATCAATCAGTTCATGTTTACCAAGTTGATCGGAAATCATGCAGCTATCGATATCATTGGTATCGTAAAACTTCTTCAACAAGCTTTCCACACTGTTCTTAAATACGCTCATAAAAACTAAATGTTTATTATCATAAGCGCCAAAGCTCTCCAGAATCATGAAGGTAGTTCATAAATATAAGCTAGTCTGGCATTCAGTGTGTCAGCTTCTCGAATCTCTACTAAGTAAGAAAATTAAGCACATTGCAAAGATATTACCACTTTCATAAGGATGTTTAAAGAAACAGGAATTTTACACATGCCCCTCGCCTAACTAGATTTATGCTATTCTGAGATTTTTACGAGTGTTCATCTATTATACGAGGTATCAAGAGAATCTGTTTAATGCAAGAAAAGAACAATTATTTTCAAATTATATGAAGTGCACATTATTAAATTTGTCGTATATACTTTCAGGTCTAGAAAATTGCCTAGCTTATGGACACAGCTTTTTGCTCTACTCGGACTCTTGATGATTATAGTATCTGTCCTATTATTTGACAATCGTTCCATACCTCCATTTCCTAACTGCTATACATTGGTACCTACGTTGGGAGCAGCTTTGATTATTATCTTCGGAGAACATGACACATTAGTCGGACGTTGGTTATCTGCAAGACTATTACGTTGGGTGGGTCTAGTCTCTTATAGTGCCTACCTTTGGCATCAACCTTTACTGGTGTATCTTCGTCTACGATCTACTGAAATGCAAAATGTTTCGTATATTAATCTCATTGTTGTGACCGTTTTGCTGCTTGCTACACTCAGCTATTTCTTTGTCGAACAACCATTCCGCAATCGGGCTTTCTTCTCCCAGAAGCAGATATTCTCTATTTCAGGGATAGGTACACTTTCACTGTTTCTTGTCGCATTGTTCCTTATTCGTACCGCCAATAATCGATATGTAATAATGAGGAAAGTGGATACATATTTGCATGATATCGAACCCATCGAACTCTCAAACTATGTTACTCGCAGATTTGACAATCACATGAAAAAGTACCCAACGTTTTCAAATCGACCAACAATGAGAAATAGAAGAATTTTACTCATTGGTGATAGCTTTGCACAAGACTTTTTAAACATGGTCGTGGAAACACACAGCCTAACTAACTACGAAATACGCTGCCATTATGTTAGAGTTCAATGTCAAATTTATATGGGTCCCGAAGATAGACTACAATGGATTTCTCCAATACATAGGCAACTTTGCATCAATACCGACGATATTAAATTTGGATTGCCACTTATCCGTCAGGCGAATATCATCATACTAGCAGCTTGTTGGTTTGAATGGAGTGCAATACGATTGCCGAAAACAATAGAATTACTAAATCTAACACAGAGCCAGAAATTGCTTGTTTTAGGAGTGAAGAACTTTGGCAAAATGACCCTTTCTTTGTATCTGAACAAATCGTATCAATATCGCGTACAACAATTGCAATATCCAGAAGAGAATTTTGTGAAAGTGAATACAATAATGAAGCGAACTTTGAAGGAGTCAATATTTGTCGATGCATTGAATATGACTTGTAACCGACAAAATAGTATGTGCCCTGTTTTCACTCCAGAAGGGAAAATTATTTCATATGATGGTTGGCATGTAACGAAATATGGTGCTCGATACGTTGGTGACATTATTTTTAGAAACTTTCCGCTAAACCAATTGTAAAATGTAATCAATATAATAAATTGCGCTCGTGATCCTACAAAAAAATTTGTGAATGTTCATTCTGTAGATTGTGACCATTTATGACTGTTGCCTATTCTGTAGTCATAGCGACGGTCACAGTTACGTGTAATTATCTCACAGTATTCTAGTACGCAAAAATAAAAAATCTTCGTATAGTCTCGATTAAGGAAAATTTTATCGGCGGATGAGACTCGATGGAAGCAATCCATTGACTTGAATTTTTTCCATTGCCCAAAAATTGACAGAACCTGACCAAGTGAGCTTGGTCTAATCAAACAGCAAAGATAGATCCGGCTTTCTGATGAAATGTTTGTTTCTCGGAAATGGAACGTCTTCGAAGTCGGAAAAAGATTAGAAATGGTGTCTGAGAACATTTTTGAAATCTGATACGGCCACAGTTCTGTTCCAATAGAACCAGATGGTTAGTCAAACAAAAATTGAAGAAAATAAAATGCTAAAGCGTCAATAATACAGATTGCCTATGCAATAATATACCTTCACCCTATCGTCGGAATCTTAGTCATAATCATCGTTATGGTAAGTACAAGAAATGTTTGGTTCTTTGTATGTGTTGATGAGCAGCGATAAAATCAGGTTCGATGTTGTTTTTCTTATGTTCTGATGACCTTGACATCAGTTTGTTTACTTGAAACTATGGAAATAAAATAAAGTAATAGCAACAGTTATCTAAAAGAAAAAAACATTAAGAAACAATGGTAATTATGGAATACATGCAACTATGAATCGATCCTGCTCTATCATATTTGTTCATATATAATTGATTTTTCCGTATTTCTAGAACTATTTTGCAGCATCTCATTCCATTTGGCCAAATATTCATCAGATACCCGGGTGTGGGTGTGGGTGTGGGTGTGCTTCTTCATTTCACCGACACTTGCATCCACACCCACACCCATACCCACCCCAAAAAGTAACAACTAATGGTAATGCAACAGCTTCTATTGCAGCAGTTTAAAGTTGAAAATAATTCTTATGGTAGCATATCGATAATATCATAGGATGTTTTCTTTTTAAACTTAATAAACTTCATATTAATTGCACAATTTTTTTTAATTTTCTTCTTCAATTAAAAAATAACAATTTTCAATTTAATATTTAAATAAAAAATTTATTTTTTATGAATTAGATCAAGTTATGAATATTGATGTACTTTATCATTTATTATATTGTTTAAAATTTTTAATTTTAAATGATAAAGCTTTGAAAACAGTAGCAAAAGATAATCAATGTTCACTTTCATATTGTCTTTAAAAATGATTTGTTCCACAGTAAATTAATTTATTTCTTTTTTTTTTTATTAAAGAAAAAAATCTTTTCTTTTTTTTTAATTTAGTTTTTGGTAAATTCTTCCATTAGGACATAATCATGTAAATGAATATTGTCTACCATTTCTTCTTTATGCATTTAATTATGAATTTGGAAAAACTAACTTATGGCATATAGTTTAACGAGATTTTTAAAGTATATTTGGGAAAGTTCGTTGATCCACTGGTATATTGGAAAATCATTTTTCAAGAATAAACAAAATAAAATACAATTTTTCTCGTTCTGTTTTAAGTAAGTGGACGCCTTATTGCACTTTATTCATTTCTTAAATCAAAATTAATAAAAAATAATTCTATTGTTCATTCTGTATGTGATTATGCTTTACTTTATTTAATAAGATCAATCAAATATGTCGAACCAAATGTTAGTCAAAAAGTGTTGTGTTCATTAGAAACATAAGATGATGCATTATTTAAAAGTGTAATATGTTCACTTCAATTTCAATTTGATACTCTAATAAATGATCATTCAATAATCTTATATCGTTTATCAAAACTTGACAATATTATTACGTAATAATTCAACCATAAAAATATATAGTTGACTATTTTTGCTTTATCATTTTGGTAGATTATCAATTGAATCTAAAACTAAGTATTGAACAAACAGGTGAATTAATAAGTTTTCAAGGTATTGATAGTGTTATTAGTGAAACTGAACATTTTATTCGAAAATTAAATCAAATAAGTTTTGCTATGTCAAGAACAGATATGAATAAACTAATATCATCATCATTAGATCTTTCTTCACATAAACGATCAACAACAACAACAACAGTTAATCTTCAACAATTAATATATTGTTAAGGATAAAAATTGAAACTGATTCTATTAAAAGTGATATTTCACATTATATTGAACATAATGATAAAACAACATTGCAATTATTAGTTAATTTATTTATGAAAGTAAATATTTTAAATAAAGAAAAAACAAATTCTCTTTTTTTCTGCTTAGTTGAGTGTGTATTGGTTTTTCTTTATTCACTCACATCCAGACCCGAATCCAGAATTTGTGATTTCTTTCGATAGACTCTCATAGTGTTCAAATAAAAGGTTTGAGTAATATATATATATATCGTTTCTAGAGGATCATAGGTTTTCAAGACACTTAAATTTTCAAATAATAATATGACACTTTGCACATATAGAAAACTGAACTAGACTAGTTTCCCTAAAAAGGTTGAGAAATTTTGAAAAAAGTCTCTTAGAAATTTGAAGCTTTGAAGAAATGTACTGTCCATGAAAAACGATCTATATTTTCAAGAGACTTTATTTTAAACTTCGGAATTTTTTTTTAATGAAAACTAGTCTAGCTGAGTTCTCTCTATGCGCAAAGTTTCAGATTCAAATTAAAAAAGACGAGGTTTTTCGAAAATATGGGGTTAGAGGTCCTACGATTTCTGCTCGTCAAGGAACATGGACGCATTTTACAATGTTTTATATGGACTATTATTTATATCACAATAGAGTTTACATATTTCTCGGTTGTTAAAGTCTATAATGTAGTCGTGCCATCGTTACTTATGTCTGTAATAAGTAGATACAGCTTTTTTCTTTTCTTTCTAACGAAAAAATGCAGAAAAAAAAACAGTTTAATTAGCGTAGTTTCTAAATAGCGGACGATGAATAGTAATTAATGTCTGTAATGGAGAGGAGCAGCCGCAAAATCTCGACTTAAAACTTCCAGTGACTGTTTTCTTCAAAAATATATATGAGTTCCGAAAAATCTACGTAGGCAGGCAGAGTTTTCTCCTAATATAATGCATCATGTAACTGGCGTCTTCTACTATCCATATCATCATTTCAATAAAGTCTCGTATCTTTCCATAACGTGAAAAAAAATCTGCAAAATGAAATCTGAGAAATAACTGAGAGAAACAAATTAATTTTGTTCACAGATACGAAGGAGCTTTATCCAACATTTGAAACTATTTATATAGCATTTCATCTTTATTTTGACAAGAACTGATATTCATTATATAACCTTCTGTCATAATAATTATAGTCAAAACAGTTCATATAATAATGTTCTTGTCATAGTAACATCTTTCATGTTTATGAAAACATCAAAATGGGAGATTTTTTAATAAAGAACAGTTTTTCTTAAAAGTTTATTTTGTTTTTCTTGATGGAACATGATTTTGTCATTTCTATTTCGTCACACTGAGAGTTGAGCTCCTCCGATAACCAAGCTCTCGATATTTGAGCCCCATATAAACAAGAGATTAAAGAATATAAGAAAATAATTTTATTTAAATAAATTAGAATTAAAATAAAAAATAAAAAAGAATTCTTTCTCGTTTGAAGTACAAGTCTCTTATTATCAAACGAAAAACAAAGTATTTGTTCTAATAGTTTCTCCAAAAGTTTAGAATTTTCACATTTCTGTAGTTTCACAAGTCCAGCTTGTAATTATTCAGCTACTATTAAGTTCACATGTTGTTTTGCTTTTAAATATTTGATAGATTCATAAGTTGATCAATATTCTCATCTTGGATTTTGAACAGAAATGAATTAGCTATTCTATCGAGGAAAACACAACAAATTAACAGTACTTTAATAGGTCAATGTGTCAACCTTTGGATAGGTGATGTGAGTTTGGATCATGAGAAGATGAAAACAGACATCTATACTCAAAACTAAAGAGATCTATAATATATGAACTTTTGGAGAAGTTATTACAACAAATATTTTGTTTTTCGTTTGATAATAAGAGACTTGTACTTTAAACGAGAAGAAACTTTTTTCAATTTTTTATTTCAATTTGAATTCATATAAATAAAATAATTTCGTTGTATTCTTTAATTTCTTGTTAATATGATGAATCAAGTGTCAGTAGGTCAACTGTCATGTCGCTCTCTATTTCACAATAAAAGTCTGTATCATATGATGATGACATTTAATATTGTATACGAATAGATATTATTTGTCTTGATTAGTTTATTTCTAATCCATTTTTCGTTGTTCAATTTCTGATAAAATCATTCGTGGTTTTTTTTTATTAGCACAAGAAATGATAAAGACAAAAACAAAAAAAAACGTTGACGAACTGTTTCAAAAATAATCATTGCATGAACATTGTCCATTCTTGTAGAAGTGATGAATTCGATTTGCAACACGAACAATTATTTCACATTGACGCATATAACCCGCTAATTTTGTGGCTCGATCTATAAAACAGAAATGAGAGACAAACAAATATTCAAATGTTGACTTACAGCAATCACCACAAACACGAAGATTTTTCGTTATTTGTATCCGTGATGCATTAGGATTTACAACAAAATTCCAAGCAATAGCAAACCTTTCGCTATGTCCACAAAGTACTGATGCAATGGTTTCATCCTGGTCTAATCATCGTGTAATCCAACTTGAATCGTATTGATGACCATGTTCAATAATCTCCTTCAATATTTTTTTCAGATTCAGTATAAATTTCTGATGATCGAGGATGAGACCGACCATGAGCTCGAAATTGCTAAAATCAGATAAAATTCTATAATATAATTTCTTTAGAAAAAACTGATTAGTGTAGTCTGATTTAGGCTGCAATATTAAACTAATATATGCTTTTTACTTTTATTATACTAACTAGCGGAGATACCCGATGGTAGTCATGATAATTTTATAATATATACTTGACATATTAGAAAAAGACGTCACTATGATGTCCTATCAATTATTGGAATTCGATATCGCAAAATATGTTCAGATCACTTTCCCTTTTCAACTGATGTTTTCCCCATTTTTAATTTAAAAAAAAATTCTATCCTTTTCAGTGTTCTTTTTGTTTGATCGACTTCTTTTATTACGAAAGACCGTTTACCGAAATACAACTTCGATTGCAACGCTTTTTGATACAGAACCTTCTCGATTTTCGCAACACGGGCCAAAATAAACAAACTCTTCCCAGTTCCAACTCCTCAGCATGCTACGTTAAGTTGGCCATGAGAAAGGCAAGGGCTCTCTAGATTAATGCCAACCACCTTAAGTAATTACTCTTGAGCCTTGTCGCTAGACATCGCGAAGGAAAGACATGCAGCAAATTGAAGACGCTTGAATTCAAACGGTATATCTGTAAGAACTATGAATATTCATGGTACGAATACATGCTCACTCTTTGGGCAGCCTGTCAACATTATTTTTCTTATTGTACATTAGAGATAGAGATTAGAGAATTTCCAATTTTCATAACCTGGGTGACATTACATTCGATTACCTTCCTTTCCTTGCCTGTCGCGCCAATCTACTCTCAATTTTTCTCTCCACTAAAGAGTATATCATGGAAATTTTGATGGCGCTAGTTATTACCGAAATCAAATGTACAAACAGCAGACAGACAAACATTGTTATTTATATAAACAGAAGAAGACACTCGCTTTCATACCCTATACCCACATTCAGTGCTTAGATCCTTGAATCGAACTCATTGCCTCTAAAGTCCCTACCTGACTTTTCTCCTAACGACCAAAGATTGATTAGCTAGGTTTCTTAGTAGCCCAATTCCTATTTGTTTTACAAACAACTCATTAGATTTCAAGGCAAATAGACCTCACATTCGAACTCACCATTTCGAAAAACCTCCTGGTCCATCAATTCCTTCAAAGTATAAGTGTTCTGGTCTATTTTCTTAAGTACTGAAGTCCTATTAGTTTCCAAACAACCACTCAGGTTTCGAGGCAAATGGACCTCAGAGTTGAGCTCACAATCTCTACATCCCCGTGCCCCATCATTTTCTTGGAGGTATAAGAGTTTTGGTTCGTTTTCTCAAGAGCTAAATTCCTATTGGTTTTCGGCCAACCAATCAGATTTAGAGCCAAATGGACCCCAGATTCGAACTCACCGCCCTCGAAAACCCTGCGCCTCATGATTTCCTTTCAAGTATGAAAATTTGGGTCTGTTTTCCTAAGAGCTGAATTCCTATTGGTTTCCAAACAACCAATTAGATTTGGAGGGAAATCTATCCCAGATTCGAACTCAGCGCCCTCGAAAACCTCTAGTTCCATGTTTCCTGTGTGTTCATGAAGTGGAACTCAGTTATAGTTCTGTAGTACCGAATGTTGCAACCCTATTGGTCGGTTTCATAGATCGCCTGTAGCATGCATAGGATTCGTTTTTTTTTCGGAAAAAATACATGTCGATCTTCTCCTGGGTGTAAAGACCATTTCTGGAAAGTTTCATAGCATTTGCTCGTACGGTCTTCAAATGCATAGCGAACAGACAGACAAACAAACAGACAAACATTCTTCTTTATATATATAGATGAGATGAAATCAAATAAACGTAACGAATCACGTTAGTTATTCTCATTTGACCTCAAATATGTATGACATTCTCAAAAGATTATCATCAATCTTCATGTTTGCTTATGATCATCTCATAAGAAAATATATGTCAATGTTATTGACTCAAAGATGTCTATGATAACATTATCTCCTACTATAGACTAGAGTAGAATAACTATACTTACAGATAGATCAGATTATTTACTTTTGTTTTCACCATTGATCTCAATAAGTTTTTGATGATTGAATAGGATTGTTGATGAGATTTTTCGATTAAATACCTTAGGAATATTTAATAATAGTTTCTTTATTAACAGGCAAACGAAAAATAAAATATATGTCATATAGAAACTAAAAAGATCTTTGTTTTTAAAATCTAGATAAAATAAACATTCGACTAGAACGATCTAGTTTTTCATAGAATATGTACGTTTATTGAATATTAATTCATGATTGTCTACATCGATATATCTTCTTTCTATTGATATTTATTAGTCCAGTGGACAAGAATTAAATCATT